TCTCTCAGAAATGTCCAGGAATTCCTTTTTTCTTCCTTAAATTGATATGAAGCAAAATTGACTGAACCCGGGGAGATTTAAACCCACCCTTCCTTGATTGATCGGTTGTATTTATTCAATGCCTATACAGCATGGTTTGAATTTACCTTTCAACTCTTCTCCTAATATCAAAAGAAATTTCTGCTCTGTCTTTTTCAAGATAGATATAGAAAATAAAATAAAAATTTCTTAAAAATAGATATAAAAGTATTATTAGTATAAAGAAACTAGGACTTTTAGATGGTTAAATATTTGTAGTGAAACTTAATTTAGACTACCCGACCTTAATTCAGAGACTGTCACGGTGCTGAACTAGCTACAGCTAACCTTTGCATCACAGATGGACCAGCAGAAAAGCAAGAAGCAAAAATGCTTTTAAATTTTTTTTTTATTTAGCGCTTACTGAGTACCAGACCTTATACTAGCGGCTCAGGATAGAAAAATCAATAGGCAATATGGGATACAAATTAAGTAGGAAACAGCTCCTTTGTCTGAGGTGTTCAATTTTAAAAGTGGATTTCTTTAAAAATGTAATTATTTTACCGATGGAGGAGTCCATCCTTCCTTTGTCACCTCCTGCCCGCCGTTGTCACTGTGAGACAGGTCCTTCTGCATCGAATGTAAGTGGGAGGCGGGGACACTGAGCTGCCTCTGAAGGTGAGCTTTGATCAGATCAATGAGAGTTCAAAAGAGCTTGGCAACTCCTGTTTGATTTACTTTTGCTTTTCCTCTTGGGGAGTAAAAATCCTGTGAAACAATGAGAGAGTCTCACTTATTTTTACCTCATCGTGTTTCACTCAGGTAACTCACCACTATTCCATTGGAATCTACCATTGTTGTGCCTGAAGCGGTGACATTTAACTAATTTTGCAGCTTAAAGAAAATGACAATTTATTGCAGAGTGAGATAATGATTTAAACTCTGTTTTCAGAGGAGAAAGAAGATATCTAGATTACTAAAACTTGGCCCCATGGAGGAGTTTCTGAATATGGTACCAAATGCAGATCACATCTGATTTTAAGATATGCTTTCTGCTGTACACTCGACCTTACTTGTAAGAAACAGAAAAAGTAAATACACTTTTTAAACATCTGTGATATTAGTATCTTCTCTAGGCAAAAACAGGGATTTATATATTGCTTTATGGAGATAAGAACAGCTGACTACCAAGGAGTCTTTCGCCCTCTTATAAAAACAACTCTGAATATTAAATAAAGAATATCTCAGTTCAACGTCATCTACATTTGGTTAGTTTTCCTCCTTCAAGACTTAAGCTTTGTTGGGCCATGGGCATCTTTTTTGGAACCCTGAAAAGTTATAGACTCTCCCTATAAAAATGCACATGATATCATATACACAGAATTCTTGAGCAAAATGTCAGGGTTTTATAATTCCCTGAAGCCTGTCCTTGGGTCCCAGGCAAAGAACTTGAGGATTTCTTTAGGATGTATCCCATTAATGTGTTTCTCCTCGGATCTATGGCCCATGAGCCTCTCCAGCAACCTTATTTATATATATATACATCTCTGACTTTAAAGATTGAGAGACCGAAGGGAGAGAAGTCCATTCTCCCTCCTTTGTTACTTCCCTTTCTTCTTCTCCCCGAAAAAGCTCATAGCGCTTTACCCCAAGCATGAGCCATCAGCTCGCCTACTGTATCATCTCCCATATTCCTGTATGATTTTGAGACTTCGCCTCTGTCGATTGGAATTATTCAATGTGACGTTTTGAGGAAATGTCTGAGAAAGAACAGTATGTAGATTTGAATTAGCTGGTTTTAAAAGATGGTTGTTTATCTGTAGACCTCTACATCTATTGAAAAATCATTTACACTTAGAAAATGTTTGGGTTCCTGAAGTGGCCTGAGTCCCTTGGCCCCCGAACTAACCTAGTTGGTGAGAGAGATCACGGTAGGTCCGCAGTTACAAATTTATTTCAAGGGCTTCTTCTCTTAATATTATGTCAGACCATCTGAACCACGTTATGAATCAGGATGTCATAGATCAGAAGGTGTTTGCTTTTCATCTGGTGAAGAGAGTGCCTTGCGTGTGATTATGAACTATGATGTTTGTTTCTGTATATAAACTATGCCTGTAGTAGACGGTTTAACCTCAGAGCTGCTGTAGAATAAAATATAACGTTTGGCAGATGTAGCCACTGGTAGGTTTTACGTTCTGGTGTGTTTAAAGGCCTCTTCGATGCATGCTAGTCATTAAAAAACATGGGACTGTTGTATCTAATCCTAAAGAATGTCGCACGGCATAAAGAATGTGTGCAGAGGAAGTCTTAGCATGTCCCTCCCACCCAGTTTATCACTTTCGGTAACGACCGAGGTCTTCAACACCGGTGGAGAGATGCCCTTGCTGACATGTGTATTTTGGAAGTGGGCTCGGCTGCCAGAATCATCTCATTAAACAATTTCTTGCTTCGT